CTCGGGTCACATAGGCCGATCCCAACTTCCTCCAACTTTCTCTTCGCGGAAAGTACTGTTTTGCGACGGAGGGGAAAGTAGCAACCTCGTGACACTTCTCATGCAAGACGTCGTTGCCGTTTGCCCATAAGGTCGGCCACTCTCCTCGCTTTCGTTCCTTTGTTTATTTCTTTTTTTAGTTTCTCGTCCATACTTAGCACCGTCGCAACCTGGTCGTGCCGTGCAGCAGTGATTCCAGCTTCCGCGTTCGAATCGCGGCGTTGCATGGCTTAGCCTGGCACGGATTTATGGAATCCGCTTTCCATGAACTCAGATCCTCCTTACAATGGCGGGTTTATCTACGAATGCCATAGGGGCGTTTTCAGTTGGGATGCCATGAGATGGCTTATCATCTGATGCACATTCCCTGCCGAAAGAACCAGGTGGCTATAATCATGTCACGCCGTCCGCATCAGTTCCCAAAGAAACACGTCAAATATGACAGTGTGGAGAAAGTAGTCGCAGGGGATCAAGTCGTGGAAAAGACCAGGAGCAAGAGAAATATGCCAGGAGATGCGCCAGTCAACGGAGCAGACGGCGCACAAGGGGGGGGGGGATCGTAGCAGACGACGCATCATCGCTGGACGCATGAGCACGGGAGACCCAACAGCTGAGGGGAGCGCATGAGCCAGCCCCGCCCCCCGGCCCTCACTTGCATTATACTCTGCCTTTAGCCCGACCCACTCATGGTGCTGGTAGCGTGGCCGAGTGGTCTAAGGCGCTGGTTTTAGGCACCAGTCCATTATGGGCGTGGGTTCGAATCCCACCGCTGCCACGAATCTTTTCTCTTTCCTTTTGTTCGCCATGGCGAGTAGAATTGCTATCGGATAGGCATACGTGCAGTACACCAATACAGGATGCGTACACCATGGGCATACGCTTAATCGTCTGATAAGGCAAAAGCGGCACCACCCTCTAATTATTCTTTTTTTTTTCTTTCCCCCCATGCAGCATTGCAATCCCCTGTACCTGATACTCTGGGGGGGGGGAGAGATAAGCAGGTGACAAAAGATTGAACATGAAGAATTCAGTCACAGTGGGACTGTATTGCGCCAAATAAAGCTATAAAAATGTCATCTTACTTTAAGACTGCTAAAAAAAAAAGTTGTAACAAGTTGTAAGTTGTTTCCTTCTACCGCAAATTCCTATTCATGTTGTGGTGGAAGCTATACCGCTTCTTAAAAAGGAATGAAATTACACTTTCTGAACGTAGGCCAGATATCAAGCGTAGCCTTTAAACACAGCCGTTTGCGATGGATGACGCCGACTCAGAGGAGCAGTCTCATTTTGATCGATGACATTGACTAAGCATAGACATGTATTCCAGGAGTTTGAATTCATGAAGCAACTCTGAGTCGAATGAAGAAACATCGATAGATTTCGGATAAAGATGTCGATTCCTTTTTCTGATTGGTCAAATCGTGATGTCTCTTTTCAGTAATGGGATGATATCGCGACGAGACGACCCAGAAGAGGCATCTCATGGTCACCGAAATTCTTTGCCTCTCGCCTCTTTCCACATTCAATTGCATTACGACAAAATATTAACTGAGCACAGGCACACAGCTCACTCGAGCGAGCATATCCGCTCCTGGTGGCGCCATGGCATTAAGGTAGGAAACTGAGCACGGAGAGCGAGCGGGAACACGTGACCCGATGACGTCCCGTTGTGGGTGGGGTCCATGACAGCATGGAATTCCACGCATCCATTTGGCCGCCAGCTCAGGCGTAGAACGCTTACGAGAGGAGCAACAACACCGCCTCGAAGTTCTTTTTCCAGCGTTGCATTTTATATCCGTGTTCCCATTTTGGATGCAGGTACGATAAAAGTTGTTCAAATGAACTTGGGAGTATCGCATTTAATGAGACTGGCACATTGTCGGAATGTTCAAACATTCAAATTGCTTTATACTTTAGTTATTAAAATTCACTTGGAAGGATATAAAATGAAATCAAGTTGATTGGTCACGTGCATTAAACTCTGCATGGAAACACTTTCTCTTTCCCCTTCACTTTCCAGTGATAAATAGGTTGGGATTTTCTGCAAGTGCATATTTTCCCCCTAAGGCTATACTTTTCCTTCATTCACGGTGGATCTGAATTTGAAGAGCCTGTATGCAAAATTTAATAGTGCATATTTTTGCATACATTGACCTGACTGCATAAAAATTAATATTTTGTGTCACCCACGAGTCAATTGGAAACTTTTACTCCGGTAAAGCGAAAAACAAAATGAACGATGATCTTAATAAAATATTTACATGCTGGTTACCTCTTAATCTACTCCGCCACCCAAAAAATTATGCGAAGAGGAGTGGGAGCGCCATGCGTTCTGCCAAAGGGACGCCTGAAACCTTGACCCTGCCCAGTGGGCCTCATCCTTCTCTTAAGAGGTCGGTTGCAAATTGCTTCTACAAATCTAGGTCGAAATGAAAGAATTAAAGTGAACTTTGCCCGCCTATACATGCATTACGTTACCACCTTCTTAAACTCAAGGCGCATTTTGTGTAATGTTTAGAATATGCATATTTTGCCATTCTGTGGGCACTGATTATTCATAATATTTATTGCATTGACTACATCATGACTTAGCCCAGCCTTGACTTGCCCACCCCACAAATGCAAACAATAACAAGATTTTTCTCAAGATGCCCTCATTTACACCACAGGTTCTCTACTAATTAATTGGCAATAGAAATACGAAGGAAAAAAATCCGGAACCTGAGATACTTCTTACTGTGCAGCTTCATTATTCATGTACTGGACAGCAAGTGGACCTAGCTTGACCACTTTTCTCCATCACGGGTTCTTTCATTGGCACACCTGACAATCAAGCCAGTGCCAATGAACAAAGCAACTCATTATCCTCTTGCCGTTTGGTGTCTAAGCATTATTCAAAACTGCCACAACTTTTTAAGTCAAGCTTCAATCCTGAATGGTTTTTGCCAATAGAAAAAGAAAAATTCTTCAACAAGGGCCATAACAAAAGAGCCCCATCCTTTGATTAAATTCGACTGCCATTCCTAAACACATTGAGCCCTGGAAATGCAATTTTACGTTTTGACGTAGTCTAGTTTTCACGTGCCTGGGATCAATGTGTTAAAATATTCCAAAATGTCAGAGACTAAAATACCAGGTTTGGGATCTTTTCACCTTTGTCTTGGGCATACATATACAGATTTTCATCAAGCAAAATATTTAAACAGGAAATTACCCTGTGTTTTGCAGAATTGGGGTCTATGTCCTGCTGCAGTTGTTTGTAGCACACCTCTACATATTTCAGGTACATGTACTATCCCAGAATCCAACAAGTATGCAGCTTCCAAACATTTCAGTCAGCCAAGTGACAAATTTATTGAGGGAACTCTAACTTCTCTATCTTCTGTGCCTGTGCTACAATAAGAGAAGCAGTGACAGTTGAAAAAAACAGTCTAGCTGCTTTCACCTCTTATACATCTGAAGATTCCAATATCTCAGAGTCTTATGCAAACCCTGTTGACTCATTCCTTGTCACTCTCTCTTTATCCCCACCTGTAGATGCAAATGTGATAGATTCTCCCATTGTACCCAAGTCACAGGGACATGAACACAAGATGGGGTAAGTTCTTCCATTAGTCCCTTGCTGGGCCTTCTATGTTCATAAGTATAAACCTTGGTGGCCTTCAAATGCATACCCTGATATATCCTTTAAATTTAAGATCCATAATAAACATATACCTAATTTATTACAGAATTCAATATCCAGAGCAGAGGGCATCCAATAGGTAATGGATATCAGCAAAGCAAGAGTCTGCTATAGAAATAAATGATTAAATCATCAATTACTCTGCTTAAATTGAAAATTCTAATTTGCTTCAATTGATTCCGAGACATTTAAGATTCATTGCTTCCACTCATAAGGGAATAGTGACAATGCAATGACATACTTTGATAAACCCATGTCAAGCCAGTACTTTTCAGATCTCCATATATGATTAAAAGTCAGATGGAGATTGACCCATACTCCCCTTCATTAGCAAGGCAAGTGCCAACTCCTATTTATGGCCCAGTGAATACAAGAGCATACAACCCACCAGCATCCCACATGGCAGTTAGCACATTAATGAGGATGATGCATACATTGAGGTCATTACTTCTCAATTCATCATATTCTGAATTATGCAGTCAATACTGTTTAATACAGACATAATGATGTTTTTGTGCTGGGTGAGAAATCAGATTCAGACAATTGTAATGAAAGAGTTCCAGACTGCATAGAATGGTCATGAAACTGAGAAATCTTCTAGCATCAAGAATGAATGCAATCATGCTGGGAAAAAATCCCAGAGAAAATAATATACTTGCAGCCCTGTCTCAACATTGGAAACATCTGTGACCAGGCAGAAGGATCTATTATCCTGAGAAAAACCCATCATGCAATAAGGAGTTTCTTGACCTTTTCTTCCCACTGCCTACTGAGATTCCTTATTAGTAGAAAAGAGAGTAGTCTCTCACAGAGAGAAAAGTATCTGTCTAAGAATCCCTTAAACAACCCATATACAGTTTCATCTTCCACCACAGGCTTTATGTTTTTTTTTTTTAATTCTTCACTAATAGCTTCATTCAGGCCTACAAATGATTTATTTTAATTTAAGTGCATAATTATCTGAAGTCAAGATGTTTCTGAGGTGTAATCATTCTTTATCACTTATATATCTTGCTATGCATGCAAAAGTAGGTAAAACTGGACAATCAAGAGATTCTTTCCACTCTTTCTTGAGAAGATAAAGTAGTCACTCCATATTCATCAATCTATCTCCTGCAGTGCCATTTTGAAGATAGACACTTGAATATAATATCCATACAGGGTAGACTACCCTGGGAGAATCAACAGAACCCCAGGAGGCCATGATAGAATGCAAAATGTAATGGAAAAAGGAAGGAAAATTCATAATAAAAGGCAAGAGAGAGCAGTAACAGACCTGCAAGATTATCCAGCATGAACGTGATGAGCTTCTGAGTCCCATTGGGTTCAGAATGGAGGGCAAGCAGATCTGAAGACAAAGGGTTCCCCTTCAGCCCTAGCACCTGAAGGTTGAACAACCTTCCCAGCTCATATGGGAGGACCCTCAAGAGGTTATGGTTCAACAGGAGCTCCCTATAAGCAATACCAGATATATTCCATAAAGCAAGCTGAATGATGTTGGTCTGTGCTGATGTACTGACAGAAAGGCCATATAATGGGTAGGTATTAAACTCTTCAAGTGTTTATGACTATAGAGATGCTAATAGCATCTTCAACAATCACAAGGGCCATTTATTGATAAATAACAGGCTTCCTTCCACTTTGTTTCCGAAAGTTAATGCTGTTGGACTTGACCTGCTTGAACTTTTGTTTCTCTGAAGGTAAGGGCAACATACACATGCAACAACCTCAGGAAATAACACGTTAGTACCAGATGATCTAAATAAATATGACACATGAACATCATGAACTTCCTTATTTTTTTTTAAATATTCAATGAAATGGAGGAAGCTTTTTTTTTTTTTAGCCTTTTCATTCAAGCAATGCCAATAAATTTTTCAACATGAAGGAAAGGTGGAAATGGCATAAAAGGTTCGCTCAATTGGAATTGTGCTCAGAATTCAATCACAGCAACTCAGCAAGTACAGTATTTAAATCACACCATGCACAAGAAAACAATCTCAGCACACCCCAGGATACAGAATTTTGGTAGTGAGGTTGGATTCATTATAAATCCACTTTAAATTGCTAACTCAAGTAGCCTAGTCTTCACACATGACTTGGCCTCCTTCCTATCTGCATGTAGGCACCATCTGTATCCATTTATAGAGCCAATATACACCTGTGTGTCATGTCACACAGGCACTAACTTGGGAAATGCCAGGGAATACAAATCGACCCTAACACTTAAGCACAATATATATAGAGACCATAATTTCTTACCTCGTTTTGCAAATACAAATGGCATCATCCAAACACAATATGTGTAAAGTGGTCCAAAACGATAGTACAACAAGCCAATGAATTACCAAGCTAGCATGCTCCTGATCTTTTTCCTTTGAAATGTTCATAGACACTTGGTATCATGGATAAGTGATAGCACTGTGTGTATCCACACACTCAAGCATTTTTTAGAGATGATCTAGGACCATCGACTTGAATGGACAGACCCTGACTGCAAGGGTTAATGTGATGCATGTCTACTCAAATTCAGAAAGGCAAAACATCGAAAAATTTTTTTGCAAGATTACTCCTGCATCAATTGCAGTCAAGAATTTAATTTCCTAATTCCCTCCATGGATGAAGTTTGGACAGCAGTTTTGGTTTCCTTATTCCTCTCAAAATTATTATTAATAATATTAATAATAATATAATTTTATTTAATTTGCTGTGGCCCATTCTTTCACTTAGTAAAAATAGTCACCTTTCTTCATTGCCAACTGACATTTCCTGCTGCTAAAAATTATACTTTTTGGGGAGAAAAAGTTCACAGCTGCTTATGTAAGAAAATTGGTCCATGGTCATAACTACTGTTAGTGTAATATTTAAATTTTACACAAATGGAGCGACGTAAAAGTGAAACAAACATCTCATCAAGAGTGATAAAACCTTGCAAAACAAAACTAGTTTCTCCATATGAAAACACTAAATACGTGATAACTTTAGGCCTATAACACCTATTTTAGGCAATTTTTCATTGAATAACTAATGCTAAAACAATATGTCAAGGGATTCACAAAAATATGCAAAAAAAGGAGCCGTTTTCGTCATTTCGTTTCACCAACCTGGAGCAAGCTTTTTTTTTGTTCATTTCCTGGCTTACTCTGATTCCATAAAAACGGGAAATGAAGACAAGGATAAGACAGGATAACACTTTTTTTCCATTACAGGAAATAGAGAGGAACATTTTTTCACATTCTCACAAGCAGTAGCATGCCCGAGGGGTCAGGAGGGGTTTTGGGGATCAATTTTACGGGTTTGATTCACAAAAATTTTTAAATTTGGCCACAAATACAGGGTTATATCAGTTTTTTCATGTTAACCCCCCCCCCCCCATACGGATTTCCTGGGCACGCCACTGCTCACAAGGCTTTCCAACTTCATCTCATATCCTTGGAAGGCCGAACTAACATTCAAAAAGGTGGTCTTCTTAAACCTCCAATGGGGCAGCACGGACGGAATGTTCTTCTGCTTTTCTCGAACGTATGTTTTAACAGAATCAAAAGTCTAAATTGAGGTTTGGAATCGACTATTTCACTATCAGTTGTAAAAAATATATATATAAAAAAAACCTCTGGCCACAAAAAACAGTTCGGCTGGAGCTCGTCACATGTCATTCACCTTTACTGCTCATTATATTGTAAGTTCATCAAATAAAGGGTAACCGGGTGAGAATGGCCCGTGGGACCGGATAATGCGTCCGTATTGACGAGAATTGGGGCAGGAAACGGAACACCGTATTGGAAAAGGGCATGATTTCAAAACCTGTTGAGAGGACCCCTGCGGTCCTGTGCAGTACAGAAAATCATGCCTCTCAGCACTCAACCTAATCTTAAAACCACCCAAGCAAAATATCTGAAATTGAAGCCTTTTCGTGAATAATAAAAAACCGCCACCAATCCAAAAAGAAATATCCCGTTTCTTGGCAATGACCTTGGTTGCACATCACCCATGTAGACCTTCTTTCTCCATACTCAGTAATACCCATTTTTCACGATTTTAGGCAGAGCTATTATGCCTTCTTTCCTCGGGGGCAATTGATTGCCTTTCTCAGGCGATTTGATCGTTAACGGAAATAGGAAATGTCGCATACGTGCGCAGTTCCTCCCGTCTCGCTAGCTTCATTCCCAGTCCTGGGAGATGGGAAAGCTTTCCCTTTCCTGTTCCTGACCCGGACTGGGATCGGGCTCAGAGGGAGGCGCTCTTTCTTCCTTTTTAAATTTTAAATGGGACTTGGAGACCCTCTCGTCGTGAAACGGGTGGAACCGAGTATTCGGTCAGCTCGTACGGGATACACCAGGACCGAAGGCACATCGGATGGGGCAGGAATGCTAAGAGGGAGCTTTTAATACATGCCCATCGCTACCACTGCGCCGTACTGATGACCGTGATGAAATCTCGTCTCCTGGGAATTGGGACACCCTCCTGCCATCCAAAGAAGCAAAAGCCTCAAAGCAATTCCATTTAGGAAATATAGTGTAAATAAAAGGTATCCCTGTTACAACAGTGACACTCGCGTCACGTGCGTAATACCATTTTTGGAAGCCTTCCGGTTTTCTGAGTGAATGAAATCACCCGAGGGTCTTGCGGGACCCTTGCAAGGAGAGAATGCCAGGTGGCACATATAAATTTCCCTCAGGGCGCATTCAAAATGTAAAATGTTCACGTTTTCAAATAAAGAAACAGTACATTTCATTTCAATGAAAGCATGATTATGAATTGCAGAGACAGGAAAAACATGGTATCTCGCATCATCACAGTTCAAGAGATAAGTACCCCTGGTATGGCATTCCGAACGCAGAACTCAATCTATGTGGTATAAGATGGGGTAATTAAGTAATTTTCGTCGCCCCCGATAACGGCAGCAACATTAAAATGCTACTGGGCTCTACTTTTGGCAGAAAATGAACGAAAACTTTTCGAATAACTTTGTGTAGTATCCTTACATTACAGTAAAATTGAGTCTGATCAGCTTTTAGTAAAAAAAACTTTTTTGCTTAGTTTTGTCTCAATTGCTCCAGAACTGCTTCAGTTAGGGGTACTTGTCTAGCACACGTTTCAAATGCCATTGAACTTTCCTGCATTTGTATGACTGAGGAGAGGGAAGAAGGTCAGCAACAGACAGGTCTAGGGACCAGTTTGGCCCTCAATGTTGCCCTGTTTCTTTCTTCTTTCTTTTCATTGGATCGATCAATGTCATCTAACCTTACCATGAAACTACACCAGGGACACAGGTTTGAAATGCATCCGCAATCATCCCCGGGCCATTTTCCTCCCAATTACGAAGGAGGCGACTTCATCAAGGTGCTTCATTCATAAGTCAGTAACCAATGGGAGACGAGTATTGCAACTACAGAGCGTTTGGAAAGTAACTCCCTATTTTATAATTGCAACAACTTTTTCACTTTTTGGACTAGAACCCTGGTGTTTGTGCCAAAAGAACAAGAATTCAATGGGGTTTTATGATTTCATTGATTTGTTTGTTTGCATTGATCTCCCATCTCCCTCCTCCACCTCCACACCACATACCATGCAGCTACTTATGCATGGTAGCCGAATTCGCAACACCCGAAAGAAGTTTCAAATAATTAAGACTGATAGATTTACGTGTTCCTAAGGATGAGGTGACAATAAACTTTGAGGCCATTCAACTTCTTGTAGAAAATGAATTTGTCAAGTCATTGTTCAGAAGAAATATGTTTAAAAAAATCAAAATTATGAGCAACACTCGTCAAGTAATTGGGAAATTCGGCACCCTTGTAACCAGAAACGACAATTTTCATTCTGCCTTTAACCCGAGGACACTTCTGGGCATTGGAAGCTGATGCCCGGCCCAAAGGCGCTCCGATGGAGGTCGCCTAAGTTGACAGATTAGCAGAAAACAGGGACGCCCTTTCCCCTCATTCCACCCTCATTGACGCTAATCCATAACTATGGTGCCGCTTGAAGCTGGTTGCCTTGCCCTACTCCAAAAATCCTCACTCCGTCCGTGGGGGCGTCTAAACCTGTCTAAACAAAACCGTCTCACCCAGGCGAAGACTGATCCGGCTCCGGCTGAACAGCGATGAAAATATTTTAAGCGACTAAAGCTTTACAAAACGACTTGCTGCAGCCCTTCACCTCGTGAAAATTTAGGTGGGCTAATTCTAATCCCATTATTATAGGGTGGATGAAAATAATTCGTGCTTCAGCTTCTGCTTTCAAGGAATAATGAAGTATCGGCAAGCTAAGCTATCTGTGAATTATAAGTCGGCGAATCGTGATTCGACGATTTACGTATTCAGCGAGTTATAGGTCGACGAATTGAACTTTCGGCGAGTTATAGTCGACCAATTGAATTCGACGAGTTGTCACTCGGCGAAATGATAGGGAACTGCTTATGCTGAGGTCTCTTCTGTCATACCCTGCATGTGAGGATGCTGAAGAAGGGGAAGGAGACATGCAGAAACGGTTCCCTATCTCTGAATGAATCTCTGCTTAATACTTCTCTTTTCATGATACTTGCAGATATGCGTCCATGATAGCCTTGAAATTTAAGCAAGGCTATGAACTATTATTCAAAAGAATTAGGGTGGATTTTTGAACAGAGCACTATCCGACAATGCAGCTTTATTTACTGGATTTATCACGCATTTTCTCTGAAATAAAGCTGCATTATCGGATAGTGCTCTGTTCAAAAATCCACCCTTATTTTCAGGGAAAATACTCCATTATCAAAGAAGCGATTTTTGAACCGCGTATTTTCCATAATGGTATATTATATTTAGACACCGGTTCGTGATTATAATAGAGTAGGTCCAGAGGTCCTCTTTCATCGATTACGTTGGATTATTTCCATCAGTCGCAATGGACTGGCTGCACGGCTTGCATCGTGCACAATGGTATCGCCTCGTATTAAACCGATATGTCACAGCCATGTGGCTCTTCTCTTCGATAGTTCCAAAACAGCCCTGTTTTGGAACTATCGAAGTACTACCGAGCAGATCTCCCCGCCATACGTGAGATCCCTACCCGATCCCTATATGTGAGATAGCTGCCCGAACGACTATGGCGATTTACCAGGGAAAACGAGCGACTGAAATGCCATGACGAGTACATTCATGTGCACCTATGAAAAATCATGCCATAAGGAGTATACCCAGTTAAGTGGTTCATGACGCAAGATTTCGAAAATGATTCCGTTTAACGAAGGAAAGCGTTTTGTTCAACGATCTGACCTGACATTGGGAAATGACAACGCTACTGGAGTGCTTCCATTTTTAAAAGTGCTCGTTGCTCTTCGCTTTTACGCGACGAACTCTTTTTACAATGCCAAAGGATTTTTTCAGCCATTTGTCGTGCTTGTTAATTCGCACGATGCTCACAGCCATCTTTAAAAACTCATTACGTTGTGCTTTCTCTTGTAAGAGATGCTACGTTGCCGTCACCAACTGTCGTTGAAAACAGTCGAGGATTATTATAATAGAGCATCATCAAATGCAGCTTTATCTGACCAGTTCAAAAATCGTAAAAATAATACCCCACTTTATAAAGCTGCATTATCCAATAAAGCAGAATTATTTTAGAGCTCGGTTCAAAAATCCACCCTTTGAGTATTAAACATTGACAGGAAAACATGCTAGCATTTGGATGGAGGAAATAGTATCACATTGTGACTGCCTGTCATGTATGCCATATTGGACCTCTCTAATTAAAATGCATTCTTTTTGACTGGCCTATTATAGATGATGGTTTTGAGAAGTCATTAATAACTGATTAATCAACTCAGTACCATGCTCAGCATCTGCAACAGGAATACTGGTACTGCTAGACTGACTAATCTCAGGAATTCTGACAGAAATGAGACATGCAAAACTGCAAGATGTGCCAGATTCCATGATCCAGACACTAGCATTCTGAAATGCTTGAGTAGTTGCTAATAAAGTATTTTTAACAGGCACTCTTCAATATTGCAAGTTTTATGAGATGCATGCTACTAATGAGCAGCAATTATCCATATGGAAAACAGATAATTAGCAATATTCTCAAATATCAATTTTCATTCATTCAAGTCAAGATGGAGCAGATTTGCCTAGGCCTTTCTTGAAAGATACTCTATGATAAGATTAGAAGCTCTGATAAGAAAACCAAGCAAGTTACCTGAGCAAGACGAGATCGCCCAATTCAGCTGGGAGACTGCGGAGTTTGTTGCAGGAGAGGTCCAAGTACTGGAGGGAAGTGAGGCGTGAGATCTCTGACGGAAGTCGGGTCAGATTGTTGTCATTCAGGTACAGGGAGGTCAAGTGTTGAAACTGCCACAGCTTTGGACTCAGGTTTCGGATAGTTCCTGTCCCAAGGCAAGAGATCCAGTTAAAAACTACACAAAAATAGGAAACTGTTAACATAGTCATCTTTCAGGGGGGGAGTTGGAGGAATGAGGAAAATCCAGCAGTGGAAACCCTTCTCACTTCATGTCCTTTTAATTCTCTGAGCTCATACAACTATCTTGTGGGACCTATTTGAGACCAAGGATGGTACTTTTTTCCCCACTAGATAAGTTAATAACAATAAGTTAAATTAGATAAGTTTAAAATATAGGGATAGGGAATAGTCATGCATTTATTTCCAGCTGATCTTGTCTAGTAAGTTCCTTTTATTGGTAGAAGGGGCAGTGTTATGTGCATACTTTTGGATTCCTCAAGTTGAAGTTTGGTAATGACATTTTCAGTTATTCAACCAGAAAAGTCAAAACAAAGGTATGTCTAGTACCAGCATTCATGAGATTGGAGCATGCAAGCATGATTAAAAACAAGCATTTTCCACCAGAGGAAACAAAGTACCTGGAATACCTCAGTAAAAACCCCATGAAGTGAACTATTATTAGTATTGAACTTTGTTACTGTTGTAAAATAAGTACTTTTGACCATTAGTTAAATCTATTTCCTACTACTGTGGGATTATAGGCATGATGTTCCTTTTGACACACCCCTTCCCCCTGCCCTCCAACCACTCTTCCATTATTGATTCATTTAGGGAAAAAATGAATTTCACCTGAGATTTCCAGCTCCATCCAGTAGGATTTCTTCCCAGCTGCCACCTCTTCTGCAGACATGATGGTATGTGCCCGGTTCTTCTTTTTGCTCTCATCTCGAGACATCATCTTTGCTTTCAATGCCTCTGGATACATCTGAGACAGGGGAAATCACATGCTCATTGAGTCAACTGAACAAGAAATACAGTATGAATAAATATAAATACAACAGAATCAAGGACTCACCTTCTAGAAGTGGGGAGACAGCTCCTGTCAGGTGCGAAACACGAACACAGAGTATTTCTCATGCTGTGATCCATGTCATAAGAGAGAATGATCACACTTAGGCAAAGGAGACAGATTTGATCTCACTTATTGCATTTGCCTACCTGAGAAGACAAACCATGCAGGGTGTTCAGCAAGGAAATTTTGAATGGATCAGGAGATGATCATTACATGATCCCATAGAAAACCAGTAATCCAAGCTATCTTTTAGATGATTAACAATAGGAAATGGCTATGGGAATATTTTGACAGGCTTGGAGATACTTCACTTGCCATGCTAAGCCTAGGATCACCCTTGTATTAGGCTTAATCAAACTATGCGGTGGTTTGCAAATTAATTCAAACCACCTTTTACATGGTGCAATAGGGGAGCATCCAGGAAGATAAGGGTATACTTCCCCTGATGAAAAAATATCAGGTCAACAAAATGCACGTTAGAGATGGTGTGAATTTGATTGCAAAGCACCAAATGACAGACTATGGCTCTAAGGTGGATAGGTTAATGCTACTCTGTTCTACCATGATATGATATTGATCCCTGGGTGGGCATTTTGCCCTAGGTAGGGCAGGGAGGGTCAAGCACTGCAAACAACTTACATTGAGATGAAAGGGGTTTAAATGAAAAGTCTTTGATTTTTGGACTGAATTTGCAAACTCTAGGGAATCCATTTTATTTGAACCTACTGATATGCAGCAAAACTATACTTTCCCTCACTATAATGGTATGGTGCTTGGAGCAAAGCAGATGGCTTGGTGCAACTGCATTACCTAGATCACACAGCTGCACATAGCCAGCTTCCACATATCAAGAGACATGTATCTTATCCAGTCATCATAAATGTGGCGATAGGTGTGCTTGTCAAAAGAGTTGCCACAAGTCTATGATGAATATCATGCTCTCAGCATTTCCCTCTTCATACTCAAGGCCAAAAAATGACTGACATCTCCTGAAACTTTACAAATCTATGTCTACAACTAAAGAATGGATTACCAAATTGAAGATGGCAGACACAAATTTGTGACTTTATATAGGGTGTAGTTTCATGCTTCTGTGATTCTTTCTGTGTATTATTTGGTTCTGAGACATGTTTGTGTTGATTGTAGACACTCTGATGTTTCTTTTAGTACCATTTTTTAGTGTCAGCTGTGCTCTTATTGCTTTTTATTTATAGAATAGAACAGAAAATATTTCAATATATTTTCACGTAAGAACAAAAAGATGAAAGACAGTAACAAAAATTAAAGACAATACCATGAAAAAAAAGAAGGTAGGGAAAAAAGGAATAGAAAGAAATGGAAATAGAATGCAAATGCAAATGGTGGAAAATAAGGCCATTCATTGAACCCATTTTGGTTTGCCCTGGATGGCTGGGTTGGGATGCCAAAACAAAAAAAAATATTATATAATAAATATATATATATATTATTATTATTATTATTCATTTGTAATATTAAAATCTATGATATGTGTAGGGTGCCAGTTCTCAATATGTTAAGAATCCAAAACCTTCATATAGGATGTCTATTTTCAACTTTCCCAATCATGTTCTCTATCCTGAGAACATGCACTAGAATTTCTGCACAAATAGGTCTAGTTCAATGACACAAGTGTGCAGTGTGCTATGACCAACTAAAAGGAAATCCCCAGGGTTACCAAGCACAGCTATCATTCCCATGATTTGTGGCCTGTAAGGAAACTGTGAGCTTAAATAAATCACTCCCAGATCTGTTGCTGAAGTAAAGCAGCAAAGAGATCTAAAGATATCTTCAACTGTAACAAATTTCAAAACAATACCCATGACTTCAATCTTGAGTCTCACACAGTTTGTTTGGCAGAAGCTAAATGTAGCAGTGCAACATCACTGCAACATGGGAAATATACCTACAAGAGCAGACCATACAATGCTCTGTGGGTCTTATAAGCTATATTAGCCACATCTGAGAGACTGCATTTTGGAAAGGGACATTTGCAAGTAAAAAGTTTCCCACATCCCCTCTATCCAGAAAAAAGTCACTAGAGTCATCAGTGGGGTGAAGGTAACTGATCACAAAGAAGCTTCAATAAGGGAAGATAAGGCTATACAAATAAGCAGCCCTCCCTCTTCTCGTGCCCACAACACACCAAAGTCTTTACATTTCACAATCTCAACCCATGGGACTGCAATGTCTATGCTTCATTCCAACTGTGGCAGTAGTGGCTGTACCGGTCAAACTGAACCTGCCACTGAATGAGTAACAATGCCCGATGGCTTGACTGACTGTCTATTCTCCAACTCCTTGTTTCAAAGAACACAGACCATTAATTCTAATCTACTCTCAGGTCACTGATGAAGTTATCCAGACCAAATGATCTGCATTCTTTGATAATAGGCAAAAATATCATAAAATATAGCTGTTTTGGGCAATGGTCATCAGTTTGGGTCAAACAAGTTGGGTGAGACAAGGGCCACAACCCTTCTCACCATGACAGTCTAAAACATCCCTTCCTACTTTGATTCCTTGCTCTTAGATCTCTGAAAAAATTATTACATCATTCTTAAGCTTAGCATGACTGCCAAGGCTGGGTGGCAGCCATAAAGATACAGAAGCGGCTGACATTGGAGAGATGCAGTCATTGATGTTTCTGTTAAGCTAACACTTAGAAACTTGAGAAAATATAGCATGAACATGTCAGCATATAAGTTTTTTGCAGCTAAGCAAAAAGCTAAAATCAGTGAAAAAGGAAATACTAAATAAGTGAACACTCTTCTTGATGGGCCAGGCCAGGCTGGGCCCAGGGCCATATCTTGATGGGCCCTGGGCCTGACCTACCTATTGCTTCTAGTGCATGAATTCAGCTCAAAAGAATATTTAAAGAAGGAGCTGCCCCATTTCCATGGAGAAGGAATGTGATATATCATAATAGAACCCTTGCATGAAAGGGATTCACCACTCATGCAGTATAATACTCAAGAATATATGAGAGCAACAGAAATGTGAAGGCCCTTTCCAGAATGACCAGGATTCTATTAACATCCAGTCAATTTTGTCAGAGTCAACTATATCACTACAAACAACAAAGAGCTTTCCCCTTTAAACTAAAGTCCAGCAAGTAAAGAAACTATAATCACTGGCCTTAGTCTATTTTTTTTTAAGTCAAAATGTAGACTATAATAGCTACAGGAAGTCCTTACATTGTAAGCCAATGACCATCCCAGCATTACTTACTTATTCATTATATGAGTATATTCATTGACTCACTTCCATATTTGAGCACAGAATGGAGTCTTATCAATTATTCTCTCCACCCTTGAGCAATCAGAGACAATACTCAAACCAAGATAGGCCTATATATTTCTCAGATCAAGTTCAAATTCCCTGTGAGATTGACACTGATATACAAGGCAAAAATTCCTTTTAAAAAGAATACTATCAATGTTGAATGAGCTTTAAAAGTTCATGCAACAATACATACACCATCATACTAGATTCCAGTTCAACTATGGTTTTGAATTGATTTTACTCATAGTTACATATAATCAACCTTTACCATGGGCCCAACTATTAAGCTATAAAGCACTTCCCTTGCTCTGGATGGAATTTTGCTCCATGGGCGTGACATCTCTGCATACCCTTCACTGTTAATTATAATTGCTATGAGTCCTACAAGCACTGCAGATAGCAGCACCAGAGATAGGGGATAGTTAGGCTAAAAGTGAATCTGAGAGTGCAGTCATTCTATGGAGTTGGTCCTGTTAAGCCTACGTCTTTACAGTTTTTCACCTCGTGACATAAGGATACTGGCCTCTGAAAGTTTGCCTCCTTTTAGGGACAAACTTTTCTAAAGGCATAAACATTGCACACAATCCAATACCCCCTAAGTTAGTCTAACATGAGCAGCACAAGCTATTCTCAACTGTATCTTGACCACATCCTAAACTGATATTATGTTGAAGTGAGGTATGGAAAGGCACACCAATCTTTTCATCTCTCAGTGCTGACTCTTGTAATAGATTCCTAATGTGGGAAGGTTCATGGAATAAATTTATCATAGGTATAGACCTATAATTAGCCTACATCACTTCTTTTGACGATCTGAGGACGACATGCCCATTCAAGGAGTAGGTCCCAAATATCAGTATATATTATATTACGATGACAATTCGACGAAAATATGTCATAGATCTAGAACTAGTCACAATGTTCACCCTGCCTTGGTCAATACGGAGTTAAACAAAAGTCTCCTTCACCTTCAGAAGACCTGAGGTTAAAGCAACACCGGGTTTTTAACCTTCGCTCATTCCTAATAGGAAACTAATCACTACACTGCACCAGTGAAAATCTCTAAGTTCCTCTTTTCGCATGAACGAAATGAAAGTCGCCATTGGAAGTTATGCTGGGGCAGGGTTGCTCCATTTAACGAAAAACCAACTCGGTTCTCTTTTCTTCTCCAATCTCTTCTCTGGCTTTGATATCACGCTTCTTAGGGCTGTATCGTAATGTTTTGCTTTAGCCTGAGGATAGCTTTACGTTTTCTTGCATAGCTTTCGGAAAAATCGTTGTTTGGTGATCTGTCGCTTATCACTAAGGACCAACAACCTCTGGATAACGTCGCATTGTACTCTGCCTTTTTCGTGATGAATAGACTCAAGACGTGTGTTGTGACATTATGGACGATTCCAGTAGTTTGTCATAAACCTAGAAGGTGCAGAGGAGCATCGTGGTCGGTTCAAAAGGGGAGTATTCCAATATTGTATGCTACGGTTTACAAAGTTTCTCCCGAACATTTTGGTAGAAGCTCGTGGAAGAAGCGCTTTCTAGAAGGAAGATGACTTGAAGCCGAGGTTACAAAAGACAAGGTAGGGGCAATAGGGGCTTCTTTAACGTGCGTGGGAGACGAGTTCAGGAAAGGCATCCTTGTGACGTCACACAGTGAAGCTTCCTCTAAATGGGGCTGGGGAGTGGCTCGGTTAGTAGCTTCCTTGACTCGTACGACAGGGGACCTGGATTCGAAACCAAGCAAATCGGGTGTTTATTTCCTAGTGCAAGCCCCATCGGAGACCCCTAAGCATTAGGCACTTCTGTCTCGAGGATTGAGGCATTAAATATCCCCAGTAGAGAAGGCCATAAGTATGTAAAAATTGAGAGGTCCTCATTTAAGAGTTAACACACGAAAAAAAATTCGTTAAACCAGTTCCACGGTATTTTCGCCTTGTGTCTTGAAATATTTATTTTGCGAAATCGGTTTCTCAGTTTCGTGAAACTAATATTTGGTTTGGTCTATTTTTCGTTCAGTTTCTGAGAAACTGCTGGTGGTACGGAAGCAGAACTTCTTGAGTTTGTGTTCAAATTAGAGAGAATTTGTGGAAAATTGATCGTGACGAGAATCGCAATAATGCGATCGAACGGCAGAAACCAGATGAAGTAGCAATAATACCGAAAATCGGTCGAAGTAGGGTGAAAAAAAAAAGAATGAAGAAAAGTGGAATCCTGAAAGAAATCGGGCTTTATATGCAGAATTCAAGCCGAAAGTGAAATGAAACTATTCGATAGTTTGGTTCGAGATATTGCAAGAATACTGCAAGCTCGTATAAGATTCTCTCATGAACATTTCCCTGTTGGAAATCCTATAGAGATCGATCGTGCATTGATCAATTGGTAAATAAATGGTGATTTTTAAGTAAACCTCAATGTCATAACCAAGCAAAAATCAGCAGTTATAGCCACTCTCATGACAGCATCTTTTTTTGCTGATTCTTTTGCTGATTCTTTTTCTGATTCTTTTGCTGATTCTTTTGCTGATTCTTTTGCTGATTCTTTTGCTGATTCTTTTGCTGATTGTTTTGCTGATTCTTTTGCTGATTCTTTTGCTGATTTTTTTGCTAATTTTTTTTTGCTGATGTCTGCCTTTACCATATCCAGAAGCTTCTCAAAGCATCGTGGACTCATCTGCAGAAAATTCAAGCGGAACTCTGGGTCCTCTGGTCGCAGGTCTCGGTGAACGTTTCTCCCAAGATTTCCTCCTTAAATTTTCTTTGCCGGCCTGCTCGAGCAAAAAAAGGTTGCTGCCGAAATTATTATTTGGCACGGCGAGAAACTGGGCGACTTCACGTGTGACAACTTCAGAAACGAGTTTCGTCCATTTCCACGAAACCGGTTTTTATTTCGGTGGGATTTCGCCAATGAGGGAGAAACCAGTTTCTCGGTTCGTGAAACCAATATTTGGTTTCGCAGCTTTTCTGCTTTTAAATCAGTTTCTCCGAAACTGAAGGTGACATGGAATATTGAACTTGCATCACAATAAAGTGATCAGGCCACCGAAACTAGATGAAAAAAAAACTGATCAGTTGAAGTGAGGCGAAAAAGGCATTCCGCGAGGCTTTATTTCACAAATGAGCGGAGAACGGCGGAAGCTCCGAAGAATTTAAATGCAGGATCCAAGCCAAAAATGAAAGAATTTCTCGGATAACTCGACTCGAAATACCCCAAGAATATCCGAACTCGCGTAAGATTCTCCTACGAGAGAACAAAAAAAAAGTAATCATGTTCGCCGGCTTGAACGTGTCCAGGAGCATTGAGGAAAATTAATGAAGGACTCTCGGGGTCCTTCATGGCAGGTCTCGAATTAATGAATCGTGACCTTCATCCTGCACGTCTCCGATTTTTCATCAGGCTTCCATTTTCTTTTACGGCTTGCTCGAGCTAAAAAAAAAATTTTACAAAATGCAGACAGGGAAAGAAGCTCTAATTCAACTTTAGAAATTGGTTTCAATGAAACTAGTTTCGTCCATTTTTTGCAAAACTGGTTTGTCATGTGTGGCTGCCTTTGGAACAGCGAAGAGGGAGAAGTGAGATGAGAGATCTTCAGTATACATGATCAGTATAAACCATTCATGATGAATGAAAGAAAGAGAGGATGGTATATTTACCGTATATATGATAAAATGTTTGAATTATCAGGATCAGTAGCGCACCCAGAAAATTCCAATGGGTGGGAGGGGGTTGACAAATGAAAAATTGGCAACCCACCCTGCAAATATGGCCATAGAAAAAAATGTTTGGGAATCGAACCCGTAAAATGCATCCCAGAGGGGGGAGGGGGTTTGTGGCCCCCAAACTCCCCTCCCCCCACCCCTCCCCATTGGGCACGCCACTGATCAGAATCAGGCCTGCCGAAAGAGTTTCAGAGGTCCAAGGCAAAACTATATCCCTTAGGGCCCCTTGATACGCGAGGCCACGGGGCAGATTGTTCCTGATGTCCCCCCCCCCCCCTCTGGGTGGCCCTGATCCGGATACATTGTATCACAGCATGAAACATGGCAGCTCTTCATGATACGAAGAGCTGCTATGGACTCGTGAAACTAAGCACTGTTTCATTGGCACCGGAGTGGATGGGCTGTGCATCTCCACGCGGTGCGATGCGATGAGGATGTCGCGAATCTCTCATGTGGAGGTTCTGCATCCTTCATCAGTAGATGCAGACGGGACGGAAGTTGGAATCGCTCGGGGAGCAGGAAGGTTCTCGAGGAAAGGCTACGATGAGAGACCTTGGGTCGCTTTCGCATTAACCGCCTTAGCGCCTTAACCGCCTCAACCGCTTCAACCGGTTTGCCCCAGTAAAATCCGAACAGATTTTTGTCGGATGGCATAATGGCGGATATCTCTTTCGAAGGACATTGTATGAGCTTCATATTAGGAATAGGCACGACTGGGAAGTACAGTGCGGCGTTCTCCAAGTTTCAATTTTGTGCTTCATAAAATAAAGGGACGACGAGAGGGAAAACACAGAACATTTTTAGGAGGCGCCGCAAGGATCTCCGCAGCTGGCCGATCCACGAACGGTTCTCAAAAATCAAACCTGCACTATAGAGCACTATAGTGCGGGGTCGTTCATAAAAATGCTGGAGAGATGCCGAATCGTCATTTTAGCAATGGTTTGCACAATCGAAACCAATGCTGCCTTCAGCCCAACATTTCATTCGTCTCGTCATTCCTCATTCTTTCATGGATAGTTCCGAGCACGGCGTAGTTTTGCAAGAGGTTGCGGGGCGGTCTCCATTGGTCTCCAAAGAAATATTTTGAATATTTCTTATTTTATAGTTCAGTCTGATTCTAAATCATTATTCGATGTGACATTCAAGGACAGAGATCCCCTCGTACGTAGATGTGCAAAAAATAGTCCCATTCGCTTCATATACGATCAGCAGACAAGAAATGCCGATTCCTGACGTTTTTTCTATCTAAACTGCTGTGAAAACTGTTTCTCT